ACTAGAGATAGTATTCTTCGACGTCGAGATTCTACCTAATACCGTTAATTTATCGTAAGTCTTCTTTCGGAATAATTTATCTAGTAAATATCGTTCTTTTTCTCGATATAGCTTAATTAAGTCTATTATAGTATAATATTCGCTAGCGGAATATTATACTAGTAGCTATATTATATCGTCGAGTTTTATAATAAGATCTTCTATCTAGTCTTAAAGTATTTTTAATAGAAATACTATAAGACGTTAGAATTTAGATAAGAAGACGTTAAATCGTTTATTAGATTACTTATTAAGTATAATATATTCTTAGCGTATCTATTAGCTTTAATAATATATTTCGTAGATTTAGTCTATATATACTAGTAGATTACTAGTAGTCTAGAATATAGTATCGGAGACGATTTCGATATTAGAAAGGTAAGGCTCGATAGAATTATATATATCTCCTATAAGTCGGGTAAATACGTAAGTAATAGTAGTCTATACGCCGAAAGACTTCTAGATATCTTCTTCTACCCGAAGCTTATATATAATTTTAGAGCGCTATTCGTAGTATTTATCTTTATTACTATCGAACTTAGAAGAATCTTATATCTTTAGTCTATAACCTAAAGGCTATTCTTACTACGTTCTCGAAGTAGAGGTAACGTAGATTAGCGAAGAGGGAGTATACTATCGAGAAGGCGTATACGAAAATCGAGATTACGAAGCTTAAGGCTATAACGAAGAGACTCGCTAACTAGTATATCGTTCTCGATATTCGTTAAGATTCTAATTAATATTATAAACGCCGTTATCGATAGTATTATTACTAGAAATACTATTAAAAGCGTTATAAATAGAGATATCGATATTTATTATATTAGAATTATAAGTCGTCGATTAATCCTAGAGCTATAGGCGTTCTTATCTAGAAGAGTAAATTTAAGGGTCTATAATATTTATATTACCTTAGAGTAGAGCTATCTATCGAATCGACTTTTAAGATAGACTTACCTTAAGATTCGTAATTTCTTTATCCTATTTAGCCGATTTAGCTATTTACTATTTATATACGTCCCTAATATACTTACGTTCTACGTCGATATTATTAATTTAGTTCTATTAATCCGTAATAGTAGTAGCTTAGATAGCTAGTTTATAGTTTAATTCGTTCGCTTAGAGATCTTAATTAGTAACTATAGTCTATAGATTATTAACTAGAGATACTTAAGTCGTTATCTTATTATTTAGCTCTCTAACTTATTACTAGTATAGAAGTCTCGTATCTTACTTAAAACGATCTTAAGAGACTTAAAGATAAGTAATTCGTATAATAATTAAGTAATATCTTCTAACTAGGCGGCGTAATAGATAGAATATCTAGTCCGGATTATTACTAGTATAGTCTAGAAAGGCTTTAGTATTTAGAAAGATAAGATCGTTTTTAGAATCGATATCGGCGGGTATATCCGAAGATATATATAAACTATCTAGTACGTATCTCTAAAGAACTAAGAAGAAAAGATTTATATCTTAAGAGTAGATAATAGGAATCTCTCTATTCTAATATTAATAACGTTTATAGATTCTATATATAGCTCGAGAGTTAGCTTTCGTAGTAGAATTAGCCGTACTCGTTTCGTATTCGATATCTCCTAAGGTATCTATAATATCTACTTTATCGTTATCGCTCTCGATATCTAGAGGGAGATTACGCGAGATTAAAGAAGTTTAAGAAGTATTTAACTACGATCCGGATAATATATAGTACGATATATTTAATAGTAGTAGTAGCTCTATAGTTAAGAAGGTACTTAGTACTAGATATCGAATAAACGGTAAGTATACTAAGGAAGTCTACGATATTAAAGAAGATTATAGAATAGAGATATCGTAATAATTAGAAGTTATAGATATACTAGTTCGAGTAGAAAGACGTCGAATAGTAGAATATACTAGTAGTAGAAGATCTCTCTTAATAGAAGGACGTACGTCGTTATTATCGAAGAGAGATCCTAAGACGCTCTATTAAGAGTCCTATTAAACCGTATCCTAGGATTTAGATTATATAATTTCTTAAGACTAAAATTAAGAACTAGGATTATTATTCTAGTCTAATACTAGATCTAAGGTACTAGTACGTTACTTACCCTTCCTAGATACTATATATTATAGTCTATTAATAGGAAGATTATATTTATAAAGTTAGTTAGTATAACGTTACTCTATTTACTAGAAAGAACTTTTAAAGTATAATCTAAGCTCTTAGATAGTAGTTTTCTTAAATATATATAAGGAAGAGGAGATTCGATAAGAAGAGAACTTAATAAGAAGGATCGATCGAAAGAGTAATAGAAAGAAAAGATAAAGAATTCGAGTAGTAAAAGATTTTAAGTAGTAGATACGATCCGATTTAGCGCTTAGCGGTAAAGTCGCTATCGTAGTTACTTACGCGCTAAAGATAAAATAAAGCGCTATTAAGGTCGAAGTCTTTATAGATCTCGTAGTCGAGATAATCGTAGAAGAGATCGAGAAGAGTCGATATTTATAAGTCGAGAGCGTATTAGTAGATAGTTAGTCTTCTTAATCTCGTAATTAATATAATCGTAAGAGAGATCGAGAAGAGTAGATATCTCTTAAGTTAACGGCGTAGTTAATAGAGATATTAGAAAAAGTCTTTT